GCTGCACCACTGGGGAGGGCCCTGAACTCACTTCTTAATCCTAGCAGTGTATTTGTAGATTCTTTGGTGCAGTAACATCATTGGAAAGGGCCACTTTATTTCTTCTTTTCCCACTTCTGTGCCTTTTGTTTCTTGTCTTGCCTTATTGCTCTGGCTACTTTAGGTCATGTTTCATCTTCGTGGTAAGTGCTGACATCCTTGCCTCATTCGGGACCTTAGGGGGAAGCATTTGTTCATTTTATACTTTTCGCTTAATTTCTCCTGAAGGCAAAAATCAAGTTGATCCCCTTTTGCTAACTATTTGCTGTGAAATATTTATTTTATTTTAAAGTGGATATTAGGGCCCTCCCTGTTGGCTCAACGGGTTATAAAGCACAGCACTATGAAGCTATCACAGCCACTGCAGCACGAATTCCATCCCTGTCCAGGGAGGTGGCCCACATGATGCATCAGACTGCTCCTGATCGGCCCGCTGCCCCCCTCAGCAGTGTATTTCAGTCAGTCTGCCTGTTCTGCTCCCCACTCTGTCTCTGGTGAAGCCTCTCACCTCGTGCACCTCTGGCCTGTACCCCCCGTTCAGCATGTATAAACAATTGCCTTGGAAATTGAGGGGAATTTGTATTTCCCTGTCGGGGTGTGGACTCTGATGCCCCCTAGTGGCTTCACGAAGCCATTGCCCTTGCAGAGAAGTGTGTGTGGCTGGGGATGGGTGGTGCAGTCCCCCTTTCTGCATCCTTACAAGAATTCCAGGGGCCCGGTGAACCCTTTCTCCATGATGTCTGCAGATGGTGGTCTCAAGCACCTCGGTGGGCCAGGTGGTGGCGCCGGTGTCCGGGAACAACCTGGGGGTGCGGCGTGCAGAGATCAAGCCTGGGGTACGCGAGATCCACCTGTGCAAGGATGAGCGTGGCAAGACCGGGCTGCGGCTGCGGGCCATTGACCAGGTAGGACGGGCCGGAGAGAGGCCAGCGCCAAGCTCTTATCACCCACCAGCCTGAGAAACAACGGGACCATGGAAGGAAGGCACAGAGCCAGCAAGGGAATGGAGGGCCCTAAGCTCACGCCCAAGCCCTCCCCTCACCGTCCTCCAGCAAGGCCTCCTCCCTCCTCACAGGGGCCTGACTTCCAGGTCTGTCTGCAAAGTGGAGCCGGGCTCACGTGCCCCGGGAGAGGCCCTGCAGTCCAGTGCTTGAGGTGCTGCCCCAGCCGGCTTGGAATCCTGACCCGCCACTTCCTAGGGTGCGGGGAGGAGCGTTCCCGCCACTGCAAAGTGGAGTGAGGTGCTCCCTGCCTCACACAGCTGTAGACCCTGCAGCTTACGGAGGATCAGAGGAAAATAGCAGCGTGGAGGACAGATGTAGGGGCTGGGCAGGGGTGGGAGCGGCGCGGGGGTTGGGGGGCAGGGAGCTGATCCGGCCCCACCTCTCCCAGGGCATCTTTGTACAACTGGTCCAGGCCAACTCCCCCGCTGCCCTTGTGGGGCTGCGCTTTGGGGACCAGATCCTGCAGATTGACGGGCGTGACTGTGCTGGGTGGGGCACGGACAAAGCGCACCGGGTGCTGAAGAAAGCATCAGCCGAGAGGATCGCCATGGTGGTCCGCGACAGGTGAGCGGCGCGCCCAGCCCCACCGTGTGGTGCGTGGGCTCAGCCGGCCAGACCAGCTCACTGTGGCCCCCCACCAGGCCCTTCCAGCGCACCGTCACCATGCACAAGGACAGCACGGGCCACGTCGGCTTCATCATCAAGAAGGGAAAGGTGGTCTCTGTGGTCAAAGGGAGTTCAGCCGCCCGCAATGGGCTCCTTACCAACCACTACTTGTGCGAGGTGAACGGGCAGAATGTCATCGGGCTGAAGGTAGGCCAGGGGCTGTGTTCTGCTGAGGGACTGGGGGCTGAGGGCTGCAGGGTGGAGGGAAGGCTCACGTGGGGGGTCGGGAGGGGCAGGCTGCTGCTCTCCCCAGCCTCAGTGTCCTCCCCTAAGGCTGCTGAGCGGATTCAGTGAGACTGTACATGCAGTCCTGGCACAGTGCCAGGCACATAGTAAGCGCTCAGTGAATATTAGCTGTTGCTGCTGACACGGAGGCCAGGGAGAGCCCTGTGCTGACATGAGCAGGGACACAGGCACCAGGTGAGGTAGTGTGTTGGGGACCAGCCCCAACTATCGAGGTGTCGGGAGACAAGACAGGCAGGGCCTGAAGGTGGGAAGGCGTGGGCGAGTGGAGGTTCCAAAAGGGAAGAGGGGAGCGGGCGCGAGGAAGACACGGGAGTCAGAGGTGGGTGCAAGTCTTGGTGCCCATCCCCTCAGCAGGTCTTTATTTGTACTGTGCAGCAAGTAGTTACTTGCAATAATGCTTAGGGTAAGTTAATGAGAGATCGCCATAAATTGTCCTAAATGTTCTCAAGGACCAGGGGAACAAAGCATTTTTTTTCTTAACATTGTATGGTTTACTAAATTAGAGGATGAGCTGGTTAGCAATAGGTTGTTAGGAGTGTTAGGGACGTAATAAGTTGTGTTGCAGTGTTATCAGTGATTGTCTGAAGAAAAGCTAATGGCTAATTTAAGGCTAGCAGAGAGTAGTTAGTGCTTGTTTTCAAAAGGAGTAAATATAAGAGGAAGCTGTACAGTTGTGTATTAAGCCACACCTGTGTAAACAAGGTTAAAAATTGTCCATGAGTCCTTATGCCCTGGGGTCGGACGTGAGTGTGAGCGGCTCGGAGCCCTTGGGGAGG